TTTCTAATTACAATTTTTGTTAGAAATATTTGAAATGTTTAAAATGTTTAAAACTGATTTACATAAAGAAAAACGCATATATAGCTCTATTTAAAAACATAATGCAATTACGTATTGCATATGTACTATTATATTTAAAGAAATAGGAATATAGACGTCGTCATTAAATAATTTAATCTTCCGCTCTATAATTTTCTTGCATTCTTGTTTAGAAAAATGTTATATCTTCTTCCACTTTCTACAATTATCCTATATAATGCCTACATATACAGTGTGTCCCAGTTTTTTCCGATCAAATTTTGTCAGTATGTTTTATGGGCATAAGTAAGACAAAAATATTATGCAAACATAGATCATTTGAAGATTTATTAAAGTGTTATAACAATAACACGAAGTACAAAGGGAATGGTAACAAATGTGAGGTTATGATACAAAATAAGAATAGTATTTACGAAACGTATTAGGAAACGTATTCACGAACTGAGGTCGTTGGAGATAATGAATGTAAATTCTGCCAGTTCCATTCTTGTATGGCAGTAACAGCAAGTTTATTACTATTCCCTTCGTATTTCGTATTTTTGTTGTAACTTTTTAACAAAGCTTCAAACGACCTGTTTACATAAAAAAAAAAATGTCTTATACCCATAGAACGTACTGATAAAATTTAATAAGAAAAATTGAGTCACCCTGTACGTAATTCCCATTTGTAATTTTTAAATTAACCTCAGTTTCATACTCTTCAATGTTATCGGATACAATTATATTATGTTTATAAAAACAACTTGCCAATATTTCGAACGCGTATATAATAATCATACGTATACACACACCAATGGAATTGAGGAGCTAACCTTTGTGTTTAACTTTCAATAAATTTCAATTAAGTAGGACGCACATACTGCGTTTGACTTAAATGATGATGTTCTTCTCAATGCACACAAATTTTTAGGGCATCTATTTATAAACATGCATCAAATAAATGAGAATAAGGTAATTCTGAGAAAAGGACGAGGATAACTCTTTATATTAAAAAAATATAATACAAGTATCTTTGATGATTTTATTTGCACACCCGTTAGATTGTTATAATTAAAAACAAGAAACTTAATAAATATTACTAAGTTGATTGATTTATAAATTTTCTTCTGTTCTTTTTTTACGAAATTCACTGCATGGTAAGTTGAAAGCAAAAAAGAGGACATATGTAAATAAGTAACGTTTCCCTGCCGACGCATGTACATATATACATACAAATTATTTACCATGCATTTATAATATTTAAATGGCAGATATCCTCGAATACTCAATGAATAGTGTTGATTACATAATACTGTCCAATAGATGCTCATCTTTTTAAATTAGATTAATAATCAAATATAATGGTTATTTTACCAATCACCATTTATAATAAAAATATATACACGTATACGTATAAAAGAAATAATGCAACAAAAGTATCGAGATGAATTTTCAGGTTCTAACAACAGCTTAAATAGCAATATTATATATTTCTAATGTCACTGTAGCGTAAATTAAATTAATCCGATTTAGATCTAAATTAAGCTTGGGCAATCATTGTCAAAAAGTGTGTTTTTAGTTTAATTTACTAATAGTTCTACGTGGAAAATTAAGAAAGAAAGATCGTAGTTATAAGATTACCGATTTCAACTGTTTTGGTGAATCTACAGTGAAAATAAACAGGCCGGTATGCAACAGTTTTTATAAACGCACATTACTCAATAATACTTAACCTAAATTTTTCCGAAAATTCACAAACTGAAAGTAACTTTCGCTAAATGTTTTTGTTAAAATTTACATATTATATCTAACTCAATACATACTATGCATTTCAGTAAAGAAGAGAAAAAGTAATATTTCAAAAATAAATAAAAAATATGCAGTTATCATGAAGATAGAAAACCGATGTATTTACGAACACACGTCATTGTAAACAAACATAGATTTGGAATGGAATTATAACCCTCCATATACAAAACATTACGTAACGCGTAATTTTCAAGGCGGTGTGAATATTTCAGTAGTAATACATATTACGAAACACATTTCATAAAATACAAACACATTTTAATTTTGTTATATTAACCCTTATGTCAATGACCACAATTGTTCTCTACTTCATCGTCCAATTTTAGTAGTTTCCTGATAACAAAATTCTAAACTTGAAGCAAGCACAGATAGGAAATGTGCCAAATAACAACTATCTGACCGGATATTAAAATCTTTTACCGGGAAGATAAAATATTGTAAGTGAGAAAATGTGCAAAAAGGTATGCGATTATTGACATAAAGGTTAAACGTGTACATATATTATCGATTCTTTTTCCGTTATTCTGGAAAGAAATGTTACGCATTTTCCGTGTGTATATGTAGAACTGTCTAAATGAAATATATACATATTACATATGTATTTTAGTCTATTTTCGTAATGTTTGTACGTAGTTGGTATAAAGTACACACATACATAGTTGCAAGAGATCTTCCTGAAGTAAATCATATCACATGTTGTGTGCGTGATGAAAGAACGGATAAGAATAGCGACGATGAATAGCTCGTAAGCAAAGATAGGATTATACAAATTGCATTTCGCAAAATATGAAATACAATTAATTTTTAAATACAAAAATAGCAATTTAGTACTTGTTTACCACTATAGATGGTACCAAATATATGTATATTGCTTACCTGGCATTTATTTAAATAATGCGTGTATTTATACATTATGTCACAATCTGACAGACTTTAATAATGAGTATGTAATGAATTAACAGTCACTAATTTATTTTATTCCAATGACATTACGTTTCAATTTGAACAGGATAAGAATAATTTAAAATTTACATAAGAATTTAACTCGTACAATTCACGATTAACTGAAGGAATTATAAAAAAAAAAAAATATCGTATGACAAAATCTAACTTTTTTAATAAATAAATCCTGATTTTAATCCTTAAGTAAATTCACACATACCATTTGTACAAGCGATAAAAAAATGATAATACATCGCAAAAACGCACTCTTCAGCAGTATTCGATATGGCATGGAAAGAAAAGAATGTACATACATATGTAGTCTGTCTCACTTATTTCAGTTTTCTGTGTCGTGTTATTTCACAGTTTTTAATTGTAACTATTTTTTTTATTTCACTAATGCAACGCTAATAGAAACAAAACAAAATAAAATTTAATAAAGATACCTCTAACAAAGCTCACAAGTAATTCATATAGATCTAGATTAATTATTAAATACTTATTGCGTATCGATTAAAATATAAAATTTATCATATTGAAAAATTAACGAAAAACTAGCAAATCACAAAAGAAACAATTAAAATAATAAACAAACACATGTTGAAGTGCCCCATTATTACTTGAAAATGTTGTGAAAAATGAAAGATAATTTAAAAAATTGCCAAACACTTACCATTGGTCTTCTGACAGAAAGCCATTTTGCCTGTCACTGAACACTATTGGTCAACGATATATAAATGCTAGATCGGTGTTTTGAAGTCTGTCAACTTTAAACAATATCTGTTTTTAAAATTTACCGTTGTTAATAATAATCGTTAATAATTGGCAAGAAACATTCGATTGAGGTTAGTCCGAAGGATGTCTTTACAATTTAATGAACTCTTTAAACTATTGGTTCATTTGTATTACGTCACACTTTTGTTAGTGTCAGATACTATATAGTCATCGCAATACTACTTTACTTTTCACGTAGTCGATAACGTTCTTGACTTCGAAATTATATGCCCCTGCAAAGATGCTGAAAAAACACCAGACTGTCCCTATATTTGAATTCTATATTTAAACCACCATAATATTAGAGTTGCTAAGACTTATGCAATACCACATTTTAAACGCACGAGAAGAAAAAAATTTGTAAATGTAAATAACTTTTAAACAAACCGCCATATGCACACATATACATAAAAGTTGTAATTAGTGACCATAATCTGATCATTAAGATTGTCAACAACATAATCTATAATGTGAATTTAAGCAGTGTCTTATACTTATTAGTCTTAGTCTTATCACTTCCATATTATCGTTAATGTAAGCACTTTGTATCTAAATGCAATGAACTGCAAACACGCCTACATTTTATATAATGCATTTTGTCGATTAATTTTAAATTTGTATTAAATTTATAGTTTGAATCATTTGATAAAAATTATTCGAAATATATTTAATTTAATACATAAACTTTACACTATATAATAAACCATTTTGTTTATAAGTAAAAAAAAGGCATTTATTATAAATTAATTGAATTTTATATAATTTGCCGTGTTACTCTTTCATTTTATTTAAATTCAGGTGACTCTTAAGATATTAAATTAATTTAAAAAACAATTTAGAAAAT